CGAACTCACGGACCGCGAGATCGTGACCTGGCTGAAGTCGGAGGCTTAACCGACTGCGCCACCCAGGCGCCCCAAATGTTTATTTTTTTAAGAGAGAGAGACAGAGACAGAGACAGAGACAGAGACAGAGTGCAAGCAGGGGAGGGGCAGAGAGAGAGGGAGACACAGAATCCGAAGCAGGCTCCAGGCTCCGAGCTGTCAGCACAGAGCCCAACGCAGGGCTCGAATCCACAAACCATGAGATCATGACCTAAGCCAAAGTCAGACGCTTACCGACTGAGCCACCCAGGCACCCCAAGCATTTTTAGACCCCTAAGTTATCAATAGCGAAAGCTGTGCTTGTCCCTGGCACAAGCTCCTAGAGACGATGCGCGTCATGGTAACTGAGGTGTGTGGAGGAAACAATAAAAAATACAGGTGAAAATTCAGTTAAAGATTAGTAAATGTGACAGAGGGTAGAATCTGACTCACAAAATCTGTTTCAAGCTTGCCCATTTCTTGCTTGTAGCTTCGCATCCTGTTGCTGTACATTCCTCGACTTTGGGGTGGGATCTCTCGGACTTCCAGATCCATCTGTTCAAGCTGGAAGGGTGAGAAGAACACATGACTTATACCATATGCTTGCACTGTATTTGGCCAGACATCTAGAGTTGAAATGATTTAGTCCCAATTCCTCATTTTCCACTGGAGGAGCCGGGCTGAGGGAGCTAGCTGCCCATGATCAAGTAACAATGGGACTGCTTCTGTGCTTAACTTTTGTTTAGGTCAACAAATAGTTACTGAGTTAGTGACACACAGAGTGACAAAGCACTCACTTTGCCAAGAATGTTTTTTAGAACATATGCATTAATCCAAATATCCTCAATAATAACAATTTTAATACCTTCGGTGTGTCCTATCATTCAATCCAACCCAACCTGGGTGGTCTTTTGACCCCAAACTACCAGGACTATGGGAACCTAAAACAAACCATTATTTCTACCCTTTCTATAAAAGGCCAGCCCAGACTTAGTCATTTGGTGAAAATTCTTCTGGAAACTCTTTTCTGATTAGGGAAATCACATGCCAACCAGTATGTGATCTCAGCCTCCAGCCGGACTCCTACTTTATAACCATGTTGATAATAGAGTTAAATGGATACAGTAATACGCTAAATTACACAAAGCTCACTGAAATTACAGCAGCATACTTTTCAATAATCTGTCACTAATAACACTTTGGAAACAACACGCGAGCATGTAAAGAGAGGTGATACAGAAACAGGGTGATGATTAAGAACACAGGCTTTTGATTCAGATGCCGGTGTCCACATCATAGGCTCCACTATTTACTAGTCATGCACCTTTGGACCGGTTTATTAAGTTATCTGGGCCTTACTTTCTCATTTCTATAAATAGTATGTCTTCTGTAGGACAGCTGTGAAGATTATAAGGCGTAATTCTCATAATGTGCTTACAACAGTGTCTCTTGCTTGATAATCGCCAGATTAATGTGAAGAATCGTAGAGGTGATTACTGATGAAGAAGAAGAAATAGAGCAAGTACGACACAAGGTATCAGAGGTAGCTTCTTTATACTTGGCATTAAAAAACAAAAACCAACAACAGCAGCAAATTGGCTCCGGCCATGTCTAATAAACTCACATCCAAAAACGCTGCTATATATTTTACCTTTTCAAGTATTCTAGGGGCGCCTGGGTGGCTCAGTCGGTTAAGCGTCCGACTTCAGCTCAGGTCATGACCTCACGGTCCATGGGTTCGAGCCCCACATCGGGCTCTGTGCTGACAGCTCAGAGCCTGGAGCCTGCTTCGGATCTGTGTCTCCCTCTCTCTCTGCCCCTCCCCTGCTTGCATTCTGTCTGTCTCTCTTTCAAAAATACATAAACATTAAAAAAATTAAAAAAAAATAAAGTATTCTAATGAGTTATTTCCCTAACTACTATAAGCTTATCACTTATATACCCCTTACTCGTCCAGCATTAGGGACTGAATAATAGCAGCACTCAGATACCCAGAATACCATGTTTCAATTCACAGGCCTTAATTTTTATTAAAAAAAAAAAAAAAAAAAAAAAAAAAAAAAAAAAAAAGAAAGAAGAGAGAGAGAGAGACATAGTTTTAATTAGGGTTGACTTAAGTGGTGACCACTTAAATTATTACCATATCTCTACATAAATGTGAAGCACCAATAAATTAAATACTCAGCAAGGCAATTATTTCACTTCTCTGAAATCATTATTAAGTCCTTAGTGCTTACAGGGTGAGCAGAATCATCCAAGTAACTGCCAAAGTACACGTAAGTGAAAATCCGAGAGTTGACTTCACTTTTGTTTAAGGCATTTTATAAAGACACTGGAAATGAAATTAAAAGGAGGCAAGAAAGAAAAAAAGGAAACACACAGCAAGCACTTCAAATGACACCAGCAATAAGGCTAACGTGAGCTTGGCTTCATGTTGTCACAACATTCACGTGGCCAACATAAAGCAGGAGACATGGTAAACCCAAGACTAGCAGTGTCCAAGAGATTAACACAAACCGATTGTTCAGCAGAAACACAAGTAATCCTGATAAGCAAAATCAAAAACAAGTGTTTCTGCCAGGGTCCTCATCCAAAGGAGAGAGTGTAATACACTGAGAGTATCCTTAACAAGGTTGTCATCAGAGTTAAGTAAATTCGCTGTCTGATCATTTTCAACAAACAGAAACACATATCTTAGACAGAATTCTTTATGTTAGTTATAAGCTCCATGAGGTATAACTATGTTTTATACTTCTTGGTACAGTAAAATCTTGGCTCTTAGGAAACCAGCTTTCTAACATCATTAAGTAACTTGATGGCTCCAAAAGAAGGTCAACAAACCAAAACACAGTTTTTGATGCAAAAGAACTGCTCCTAAGAACTCAACACTATAAGCTGTCAACTCAGGATCCAAACAACTGACTACTTGTACAGTTCCATTCAGAATGCGCTTGCCAGCTGGAAGGCAGGACAGTCCTGACTCGCAGCCACGCTGTGTAGAAGGTCAGTCTTGTTACACGAAGGCCAGGAAGCATGAGAGAAAGAGTCGAATATAAAAAGAAAAGAAAGTACGGGGAAAAGCATTTGAGAAAAGGGGGCAACTTTCAAAACTGAGGCAGACATTCGAAGCTGGAGTTGGACGCAAAGCTGCCACTGCAGAGGCAGTGACAGCACAGCAGAGATGAGAAGCTGCTCTTGCAGGGTCCGGAGAGCATCCGACACTCTGATGGCTAGAAAAGAGCCAGCGACAGAGAAGACAAAGTAGCGGCTGTGCAACTCGCTGCCTCCGCGCCCAAAGTCACGGAGCAAAGGTCCGCTGTGCGGTGGGGAATGACAGCCACCTATTTCTTCAGACCCTCTAAAACAGCAGCCCCTTGTGTATGACCCTGTCAAGAAAAGTAACTCAGTTGAATAACTCTGGAAATGCTCCATGCTTTAGCTGGCCCCTATAGTCCCTTCTTAGAGATCCATAATGCCTCTTAGCCTACTTACGGGTCCAAGAGGATTCTGCAGAAAAACAACAACCAAAAAAGATGCCACCCTCCAATTCTATTTAAGCCAGCTAGTTTCCCAAACTTATTTGACCTGGCAACAGCAGTCACCAGAAACACACTCGGGGAATCTGTTGTAAGGATATTAGCAAGCGGGTACCGAAGGAACACCAGGCAGTGCCCTTCAGTATGTAGGGAAGCAACACTCTCATTTAGGACCCCATTGCGGCCACAAGCAGAGTCGCGCTTATAAAGCTTGGCTTTAAAACCCCAAACTGGGAGGGGCGCCTGGGTGGCGCAGTCGGTTAAGCGTCCGACTTCAGCCAGGTCACGATCTCGCGGTCCGTGAGTTCGAGCCCCACGTCGGGCTCTGGGCTGATGGCTCAGAGCCTGGAGCCTGTTTCCGATTCTGTGTCTCCCTCTCTCTCTGCCCCTCGCCCGTTCATGCTCTGTCTCTCTCTGTCCAAAAAATAAATAAACGTTGAAACGTTAAAACCCCAAACTGGGAAACAACACCTTTTCAAACTTTTTGTTCCTTGATGTGCAAATATATTTATATCAAAAAGTAGAAGATAAGCCAGAGCTCTGGGTATAGCCTGTTTAAATACAAGCTCTTACCCCACCACTTGTAGCGTAGGACCTCAAAGTTACATAATCTTTCGGGGCCTCAGTTTCCCCACCTACAGAACGGGAGCAATAATGGCACTGAGAATCACTCCTCTGTGGGCCTCTCACATTCCCACATGTCTTGCTGGGCACGTCAGGAATACAAGGCCCTGACTGCTCCTTTCAAGCCATTTCTCAGGGTTGTATTTATAGGGAACAGCCCTGGGGGAGGAAATAATGGGCCCCTCCGGGACAAACAGCAGGCTTGCTCACAGGCTGCTACAAAGCAAGGCATTTCCCAGGCTCCAGGTTCCTTTCCCGGAAGGTATTCTGCTGTCGGCAGACATTCTTCCAGGCAAACCTGCGTCACTCCTGTGGGAACTGGGGCTCAGGGAACTGAGGCAATTGTGCTGAGACTCGGGTGGCACCTTTTGCTGTAATAAAGTTCTTTTGCTTTATTTGCTTTATTTTGCTTTGTTCGGTCAGAGGACCGAGGAATCTCCTGTCTTCCACCAGCATCCATGACACTATCGCAAACTTAGCTGTCACAAAGCAACAGGGGAACATCTCAGGTCCTTAACACTTTTTGACAGACAGCCTTTGTCTCACAGCGCTTGTGTGAACATTAAATATGATAAAGCAAGTAATGTGTTTAACCCAGTGCCTGGTACTGAGTATGCCTTTAACAAGCATTAGCTATTTATACCTATTAGGAAACGTATTATGAAGGAAAATAAAGTGGAGTCACTTAATGCGTCACCTTCATTAAGAAGAATAAAATCCCAAGAGACTATTAAATTCTCTTCAATGGAAAAACTGATGACTTCGGAATTATAAACTGCTAATCGGAAATGTGTCACGTTTCTACAGTGTACAAAGCAGACTAGAGGAAGGCATCGGCATAAACGGCTCTGGGTTGATGTGAAAACATATCACTGAGTCTGCACATACCAATTCTTTCGCTTCTTCGAGCTGTTTCTCCACGTGGCCAACCATCTGCTTCTTCTCATCTGAAACAAACAAGAATACCAAGGAATTGCTAAGGATACACATAAACTTTAAATTGTATTAACCCATGAGTTAAATGGGTGATGAGTTAAGGAGGGCACTTGTGGTGGTGAGCACTGGGTGCTGTATGTAAGTGATGAATCACAAAATTCTCTACATGAAACTAATATTACACTGTATGCTAATTAACTGGAATTTAAATAAAACTTGAAAAAAAGGTACATTAAAAAAAAACAAACAATTCCTAAAACTGGGTGTGATCTTACAATCCTTTAAAAGATCATACTTGTAGGCAGCATGGGTGGCTCAGATGGTTAAGCGTCCGACTTCAGCTCAGGTCACGATCTCACGGTTCGTGAGTTTGAGCCCCGCATCAGGCTCTGTGCTGACAGCTCAGAGCCTGGAGCCTGCTTTGGATTCTGAACTATTGATTCTGAACTGGATTCAGAACTATTGATTCTTTTATTTTTTTAAATTGTTTTTTAACATGTATTTATTTTCAAGAGACAGAGACAGAGTGCGAGTGGGGGAGGGGCAGAGAGAGAGGGAGACGCCAAATCTGAAGCAGGCTCCAGCCTCTGAGCTGTCAGCACAGAGCCCGACGTGGGGCTTGAACCCACCAACAGTGAGATCATGACCTGAAGTCGGACACTTAACCAACTGAGCCACCCAGGTGCCCCAAGAACTATTGATTCTAAACCCAAAGTCATTACTTACTTGCTGGCTGTGGGATCCTAGATAAGAGTTTTTTTTTTTTTCTGAGACTCAGTTTGTACTGTCTAAAATGGAAATTTTAGGACTGGATTCTTTTTAGCTCACAAGGCTGATGCAAGTAAACTTACTTTTAAATTATGAAGTGCTAAGTCTCTGGATGTAGTTTATTCAAACTTCACCACCATCAAGTTATAATTCAACTATACTTCCCTTTTCTGAGAGACATGTCCTAGCAGATATTTTCAGAAAACTTCTCCCTGCCCCCATTCCAAAACAATCAGTCCATTTATTCAGAGACGGAACCTAAGTTTTGTGCTAAGTGAATTTACTGAACAATTTACAGTTTCGTGTCTAACACCCTTCTTTTCTCAGGCAGTAACCTCACTCTTTTGAGGCTTTCCTCTTCACCAAGCAGGTCAATGGGAGATTCTATCTCCTTCTATGATCCTGCCCCTTTGATCACAGTGACCTAGCAAAGGATGGGCTTCTCAACCTAGTTGGACCAATCCCAGTAGCTCAATCCCTCTTGCCACACTCTTCTGGGGGGGTGGAAGTGGAGTAGGGATATAACTCAAGCAGACCAATCAAAGTCCTACAGCAATAGCAAAATCTTTTCCTCTCTCATGGTAGAGTTATGACAACATAAGTCTAGAAGCTGTTGGCATCCATTGTTTGAGCTACAAGAAGCAAGTTACTTTGCAGTGGTTGAGAATGAAGTCTATATTTAGAAACAAAGCTGAGGGATAGGTATTAGGTAGGGAGGGAGGTAGATTAGGTACGTAGATTTAGTTAATTAGTTTCTGGTTCCAGATAACTCTGACACAGGTTTTGCTTGACTTTATCATGATTTGTTTTCTTGAATTAACAGATTTCTTTTTTTGTTTTCAATGTTTAATCTTTGAGAGAGAGAGAAAGCACGCACATGCACACGAGTGGACAAGGGGGCAGAAGGGGGTGGGTGGTGGAGAGAGGATCTGAAGCAGGCTCTGTGCTGACAGCAGACAGCCCAGTGCAGGGCTTGAACTCATGATGACCATGAGATCATGACCTGAGCCAAAACCAAGAGTCAGACACTTAACTGATTGGGCCATCCAGCTGTCCCTTCTTTTTCTTTATTTAAAGTTAGGTTGTTTTTTTTTTTTTTAATTTTTTTAACGTTTATTTATTTTTGAGACAGAGAGAGACAGAGCATGAACTGGGGAGGGGCAGAGAGAGGGAGACACAGAATTTGAAACAGGCTCCAGGCTCTGAGCTGTGAGCACAGAGCCCGACGCGGGGCTCGAACTCACGGACCGTGAGATCATGACCTGAGCCGAAGTCGGCCGCTTAACTGACTGAGCCACCCAGGCGCCCCAAAGTTAGGTTTTTGTGAACCTAATGACTATTGACTAATACAAGAAACTAGAGAAATCATGAAGCTTGAAATGGGTACATTTAGTGGCTGACTAGCCCTTCAGAAGGATCGTCAACACTAAGTAGGGAATGTTCAGTAGAAGTTATCATTTTACTAGAATAATGAGGTTCTGCTAATCCCAACCCCTTCCCTTTGATCCCCCTAAACTACGGGGCTAGCTATCACGTACGTTTTGTATATACTCCAAACATTTCACCTTAAGAAAAATGCACATTTGAAATTAAAATTTTGTTTGATTTTGCTTCTTTGAAAAAGTTAAGCCTACATATGGCCAGGTTAAAATTTTAGTACATGACCCCAAATCTATTTCCTTCTGGCACATATGAATCTGCCCAATATCTCCATAAGTTATAATCGAACCACACTGTATTTTTGTGATAGAACAGAATATGAAATAAGACAAGCCCATCCTGGACCAAGAGTGAGATTATGAATTTACGGTTCAGAAGGAACATCTTGTTTTCTTTAAGGTGCTAAGTCCATGCATAAGTCCATGCTTATTAGTCCAGAACTAATAAGCAACAGTTTTTCTCACAAAACAAAACAAAACCAGAAGCCTTCCTTGTCCTGTATTTCCCTGTGCTAATGTCTCTCTCTTATACCCACAGTCACAATTGGCCTTCCTCATCTCCCATTTCCTCCCTATAATCTTGCTCTCACCCCCCACCATTCTACTGAAGTGACTCTTAAGTCTGATGACCTTTCCTTTGCTCAAACAAACGGGACACTCTCTGGTCCTACGTTTCCTTAATCTTGTGGCATCAGACCTCCTGCTCCTCCCATCCTGTCACTTTTTCATCTCCTGGCTTCCACAACACTCTGATTCTGTGATCCTCCTACAGGCTCACTTCTGTCTCCATGTCCTCTGCCGGCATCCATTCCCTCCATTTATCCTTTAAGTGTTGGTGTTCCTTGGAGTTCAGTCTTTGCTTTTCTTCTCTTATGACTATTGCCTATGTCCCTGGACAATTTCATCCCACTACCATTTTTAAGCTGCCATATTACACATTTATGATCCCAAATCTTTATCTCTAATCCTGATATATTTCCAGGACCCAAGACCTTTAATCCCAATGGCTATGCCCACCTCCACCGTGACTACCTGGCAAACTGCTATTCAAAACTCACTTCAGAAATCACCATCTCTTCAAAGCCTTTCCTAACCCAACAAAAAAGTTAGTCACTCTCCCTTACAGAAACACCTAGAACTCTTACCTGAGTCCAATAATTTATCTATCACACTTACCACCTCCTAGGTTGGGGGCTTTGGGAATACAGGATTCATGTCTTGATTATCTTTATAGTCCTAAAATCTAGCACTGAGACTGTCATATGATCAGTTCTTGAAAAATGATGATTAATTGAATAAATAATGCAGGATGGTGTAAACATTGACAAAAGAAGCGAGGCTACCAACCACCCTGGTTTCCCTGCCTTCATACTTGCTCCTCTCTACCATTTAATCTCCCCAAAACCTGGCTATGATTGCATCACTTGAGCCTAGCAGTCAAGGTGTTCCACATTCCAGATCCAAGCAACCTGTCCAACTTTATTTCCAACTACTAGCTCTCTAGTGTGTACTCTACATGCTAAGCAGACAATTGATTTTTACCCAAACACATCTCTCTCTTATTTTTGTTTCCCACTCCAACCCTTTGTTTAAGCTACCATTTAGGACTCTGTGGCTGAATCTAAAAGAATTGAGTCTGGCTAATAACATAAGCCAAAAAAGGACATTTATTAGAAAGACAGCTATTAGAATTAGAAGTGGGAAATCTTATTAGAACACACTGGAGTGACTCATAGAGTCAATGGTAAACATGAGCCCCCAAGCTCGGAAAGGACAGTTCCCGGGGTGGCTCGAGTACCAAGGGAGCAGGAACTCACTGACAGTCTCTGCAAAGGGAGGGTCTCGAACAGCGAGGCCAACTCTCTTCTCTGCTCACTCTGCTCATGATTCGAATCCCAGCAAACATTCTAGGAATGCACTCACGTGGGTAATGTGTTCACCTCTTGATCTGGATAGGTGGCCTGTCAGTTCCACCAAGACTGGGTTGAGGTAGTTCCTCGATGGAAAATTGAGGTGCTGCTATCAGAAGATAGAATGGAGGATTCTGGGGACCCCAAAAACAACAGATACCTACTGCGCCCACTTTTTGCAACCTCTGTGAATATACCCTTTCCCCATTTTTTTGTCTGCTAAATCCCACCTATCCTTCCAGGTGATTTCCTGGGACCGATGTTATCTCCTCTGAACTCCCAGACCTCTGTGCTCTGCTCTAGTGGCTCTGATGGTCATTAGAAACTGGTGTAGTTGTCTCTTCACCCTCATTTCCAGCTCCTTGGAGGCAGAGACCACTCTTCACACGTCTTTGTCCTAATCCTGTATTTCTCACATCTTTAAGAAAAGAATGAAAAGGTGATGATTTAGGAGGAAAGCATGAATGAGGAAGAAAGGAAAGAAAGAAAGACTGAATCAGGTGACCTTGGAAATATCTACCAACATTAAGTTTTGGCAACCTTCTAGCACAATTCATATGTATTCCCAAGAAAGCTTCATGCTTTCCACGCCAAATGGCATCCCCTTTACAAATGGCATGTTCCTAAGATTCAGAACTTCATAACTAACAGCTATGATTAGTTTCACAGGGCTGTGTGTTGAACATTATCACAGTCGACCCTCAAGACAACCCTTTGGAGACACTAGCATTATCTCATTCTCAGGCAAGCAAACAAACTCAGAGTGATTAAAGAATTTCTCCAAAGTTAAACAGCTAGTAAGTTGCAGAGTTGGAACTCCAACAAGGTCTGCTTTCCAGAACTGAGTCTTCACCACTGATACCCTACATAAAATGCACTATATGAACAAATGTC